TTAGCGTTTTGTTTCTTTGTCCTCCCTGTGATGGACTGGCTTCGCATTCAGTCTCCTGCCAGATTTGCAGGGCTACCAGCTCTCACGTATCTGGCGTGACCCTCGTGCAAAAAAATCTCACAGTAAATCTATAGGCCTAACATTCCATTATAAAATTAAAATTAGCTACATCAAGGGCGTTGGGGTAGTTTGCAAACCATACAGACTATTTACAAGGTAATAAAACTGTTACATACATGTTGTTGTAAATGTTTATGCGTGTGTGCGCAGGCTTGTCTCGAATTGTAAATCTCACGCCAGCCAACTGACCAAAGCTGGCAACCTTGGGTTCACTGAGACCCTGGGCTGCGTTACCTCTGGAGGTGCAATGTGTACTGGCTACCACCCCTCGATCCCAGGCATACTAAATAAACAGTGAGTTCTTGTGCAGAGATGTTTTCTGTTATGAATGTATTTCCTTGTCCAGTGCCGCTAAGCCACCGGCCCTCCCGGTTATCAGCTGCCGTTGTGCTCGCCGGTCTTTTATTCCGCATGCAGCAGCGCGCCTGTCCCGGCGATAAATTATTCAACATCGGTACAGGCCCTCGCGTGCGTCCCGGGCGAGCGTCACGATGTCGCGGGCGTGTCGGGCACGCCCTTACCGACACCCCGCCGCTGTCGCCATCCCAGACGCCGCGGAGATCGCTAGGTCTGACACACCGGCGCAGCGCTACCCCGTACGCTGATAAACCGCCTCCGGCTGCATGACGACTTCTGTGTAAATGCAATTAAATGTTGCGCAGGCGACAGGCGCGGGCGCTGCGCGGTGCGCCGGGTGCGGGGCTGAGACGCGGACTTGCATTAAGGGAGGGATGTTAAATTGAACCCAGCACAGCAGCACAGTGCATCCCCCAGGCTGAACACAACTGCTCTGGGGCATATAAATGCCCGCATGCATGAGGAATGGGCGCGTGGAGTTTGGGGCGCATTCTCTTTGTATTCAACCCCTTTGACAAGAGCAAGACTATGAATACTGTGAATACATTGTTTATATAAAAAAATGTGTTTGATTTTGCCAGCGGTTCCATGAAAGCATATTATACTGCCCCACCCCCCCCTCCAACTTAGATCAATAGGATTATTTTCCTAATTTTTTAGGGCTGCAGTCACTCAGGGCCCTTGGAATCGCTCCAACTTTCCCCCGCTTTGCGGCGCCCCTGGTTGTCGCCTATAAGCGTTATACAAACGTGGGAGTCGACATTCAGTATGAATGACTTCAGCCATATATGGTCATTCCAGTGCCAGTGATCATTATGTGAGCATTACAGGAATCGTGGAGGCTGTGCGTTATACATGCAGCATATTAAAAATGCCTCAGGAAAGACAGTGATCACAGGCATATTTGACTTGTCTGGGGTTCTATAAGAATATGTCCATTAAAACTGCACCACTAATAACCAGCAAGTGCCTTGTAATCAGCTATAGGAAGCGGAGACACTTGATACGTTCAAATAAAAAGACTCTCCTAGGGCTTTGTTGTTGTTAATCTTTACTCAGGTTTCCGAATAATATATTCTCCCCTATGATATAAATTATACATCATATATTCACCAAGTAACACGGGCGAACAAGTTTGCCAGAAAGCCCCGTCAGTGATGTTCCCCTACTGACATCTGGTGGATACATGTGGAAATACATTTTAATGTTACATAACAGAAAAGCGAAAAAGTGCTGTGATGCCCGGAAGTGTTTCATTAGTGAACTATTACAGACACATAAGAACATACGAAATTTACAAACGAGAGGAGGCCATTCGGCCCATCAAGCTCATTTGGAGAGAACTTAACTAATAGCGCTACACTAGCAGAAAGACTATTCCATACTCTAACTACACTCTGTGTAAAGAAGTACTTCCTCAAATTCGTTTTAAAATGTTCTCCCGCTAATTTCCACTTATGGCCACGAGTTTTACTGTTACAGACACATTAATTAGGAAATTATTTTCTTTCTAATATCGTGGACATGTGGCATCCCCCTCTCCCTTACTGAAGACAAACCCTAAAATCAACAGTCTAAACCATTCATAATGGATAGTCAAGAACATATCTTTCTTCCGAAAAATGACCCGTAGCGAAGATATACATTTTTAAATATGAACACGCTCTCCTTGGCTCATGTTTTTCTCGCCACAATTTTGAAGGTGACTCTCAACACAACTGATTTCCCGACTCTGACACACAAACGCACCTGTTCCATCACCTCCGGACTATTTAATATCTGTTCCTGAAAGCCTATAGTCACACATCTAGGAGTCACACTGGCCCAATACGTTGACACTGCCCTTTTCTCCCCATGAATCACCCAGCAGAGCATTCATAATCAGCTTGAAGAGCTGAACTGCCATCTTTTCAAGAACCACCGAAGGGCTGTTTTTGTACCTCATCGGTAAGACCCGCCCCTTTTGCCAGAACCCGCCCCTTTGGCAAACAAGGATACGCTCCTTTGACCAGGACCCATCCTTTTGACTAGGACCCATCCCTTTGGCGAGGACCCACTCCTTTTTCCAGAACCCGCCCCTTTGGCCAGAACCCGCCCCTTTGGCAAACAAGGATACGCTCCTTTGACCAAGACCCATCCCTTTGACCAGGACCCATCCCTTTGACCAGGACCTGCCACTTTGGTGAGGACCCGCTCCTTTGACCAGGACCCGTCCCTTTGGCGAGGACCCACTTCTTTTTCCAGAACCCGCCCCTTTGGCCAGGACCCACCCCTTTGACCAGAACCTGCCCCTTTGACCAGGACACGCCCCTTTGGCAAACAAGGACACGCCCCTTTGGCCAGGACCCATCCCTTTGACCAGGACCTGCCCCTTTGGCAAACAAGGACACGCCCCTTTGGCCAGGACCCATCCCTTTTCCTATTGACACTGTGCACTGATATTCACCATAATCATCTTTCTTCTAGACTGTAGTGCTTCCCTCTTGCCTGAACTGTTGCCATATGCCATTCGGCTTCGCATTCTGCTCACCCAGAATGTCATTGTGCCTCTTACTGTTGACATAACGCCTTCAGATCTTGCAGTCCTCGGGGTCTCCTTCGCCTTGCTACATCTTGGGCCCCATAAGGCTTTAACACTTTGATCTCTAAGTAACGTCGGATAAAAGCATCTCCTAAATAAACAAGCCTAGATGCACAAACATTTTCGAATAAAACAACACATGTTCTGCATCAGCTCATATAATCAGCAGTGTTGGGCTCACAACAGTAACTGGCTTTCAGTTCCACACAGAAGACGGCTGCTACAGATCTGATGCCAACTTATAACGAATGCAACGTATACCAAAGGACTCCGTGTGGTGGCCTGGCTGTAATATCTGCTGCTTCTGATTTGCTATTTTGATGAAACCGATGAATGAAAGCATTGATTCTGCTTGGACATAAATGATAAAAGTGGCAGTAAAACACCGTGGGACCTTGCACTCCTTAAGCGCATCAGGCATTGTACAATGTGCTGGGAATGGTCACTCTGTGGTTTTGGTGTCACAAATGATTCTGCTCACTGTTGTCCTGCTGGACGGGGAAAGACACACCTTCAGAACCTATTGCCACCATCTTTACCATGTTCAATCTCAATCTTCCAGGAATCCCTTCAGCGGCCCCTAGTGGGGAAGAATTAAAATCTGACATTGTCACCATGGAGGTGAGATTGATTTTGGAGACATCAACAGCACCCATTCTATTCTATTCTATTCTATTCTACAGATCCTATGGCTGCCTAGGAGAAAGGAGATTATGTGCTACATTATAACTTGATCTTCTGATTCTTCTTATATGAAAGTGAATTTGGCCGTCTAGGTCCAAAGGTCTAGGTCTAAAGGTCTAGATGAGGTCAACCATGTGCTATTCTGGTAGCTGCTGCAGGATCCCTTGGGATACACACCAACGTTTCTCAATATTCCCCCCCAACCCTTTCTCTCTGGAGCTTCCTGGTTGGTAACCAGTAAAGCAGACAGCGAGAGGCTGACAGTGTACTCAAGTACCTTGGATCTCGTGGTTGGCTCCTCTTTTTGGCAATCCATACCTCTCACAGGCAAGATGTTCACTTTTGCCAATGTTGCCTCCCTGGAGCAGCTGAAGGAGAAGGTGTTGTGCTATGACCTGGGGCTTTGCAGGTCCAGTGAATGTGCTTCCTCTAACGTCACCTTGACCGGAGCGCATCCACTGCCGTGTGCCACCGTCTGCCACTGACAGAAGCTGCAGGTACAACGAGCTCAAGTCCGAGGTCCCGTTTACTAATGTTGGAGGCGACTATATGTTGGTATGTCACCCTCCTCATCAGAAAGAAGGCCTCACTGCTCCAGGCTGTTCAGCTTTTTGTAGTCTTGTCACGCACAAGAACATTTGGACAGTCTTTAAATGCGGTTTGACAATTTCCCAGTGTTTACTGAACTTCAGGCCATATGCAGAATTTCCTGTTCTGCACTTTGATCAGTCGTACTACAAACGGACTTCGCCTGAGAACAGGGAACTCCTGGGTTTTGGGAGCTTACTCAGTGCCATGAGGGCTTCCGGATCCTTAGCCACTCTCATCTACTTTCATAGCAGCAGAAATAGATTGGCAAAGGTAGGGAAACCTCTAGCACAGGGGTGTCAAACTGCAGTCCTGGGGGGCCGGAGCGCTGTGTAGCTTAGTTCTTTCCCTGTTCCACAACAAATAATTCAGCTCAAGAGCTGTGTGGTAATTAGCTCAAGGAGCTGAATCAGGGGTGTTAAATGAGGGGAAACCCAAAAATGTGCAGGGCTCTGCCCCCCCAGGACTGGAGTTTGAAACAAGTGCTCTAGCACTTTAGAACTTCACTAGAAATAAGTTTCTGAAGTGACATAACATGTCACTTCAGAAAGTTTAAATTTCTGAAGTGAAGGGTTAAAATTCTTCAGATTTTTCCTTTGGGGGGGGGTGCTTTATTGCCAGCTTCAATTGGAAAAAAAAAAAAGTTTTGAGTAATGGCACAAATCCTTACTTACACATTTAGTTGCATTTAATAGTCCCGCATACTACACAACTTCGGAGTACAGTTTAGGTCTTGAAAAATAAGGGATTCTTCTCCACATTTCATCACATGAACACCATGAAACAGTTTACATGAAACTCTCAAAAACCAAATCAAAAGAAAAGTAAGATATCACATACTAACTCGAAATAAACACTTGGGAGAGAAAGTTTAACCCTGGGGGGGGATACAATGGTAAATAAGAAAAGATTAAATTGAAAGAGGTGAATCTTTTCAGTGGGGCAACGTCTACAGTAATATATACCACTGGTAAATATGTAAACATGGAGAGTAGCGGGGTGGAAGGGTGGAGGGTAAAGGATCGACATCGGCAGGACCAGCCCAAGGCGTAAGCGGACTAAGCTGCTGCTAAAGACCCAGCGACCACCAGGGGGCGCCCCATCTAACCAACCCGTCAGAATGGGAAGGAAGATGACGAGTGACAACTAGGCCCATCGAATTTTACTTGGGGCGTCAGAAAGGGTTTCGGCCAGCCCTGAATATCGGGATGCTATTTCTGGAAGGCTAGGGGTCATATCTGCGTAACACATACAGCAGCGTTTCCTCCCCAACAAAAATACCAAAAAGACAGCGTTTGCACTATCGACAGGACTTTAAAATAACACCTTTCAGGCACTTACAGTAATAAAATGAAATACCAATACTTATATAGTCTCCAAAATATTCTCAGTGTTTTTATATGAAAACGATATGGCTATAAGTAGCTGGAAGCCTTATCTCCAGCCAATGGCTCAGTAGAAGTTCCTCCCCCTTCTGAGGCAAGGTTAGGACGTGTCCGTCATCCAAACACAGCTATGCAGACCATAGGTTGCCATGGTACCCACAGCAGGAGCCTCACCTGCCCCAGACAGACCAGTTAGGTTTATTTCAACAGTATCAGCTTAATCCTCTAAAAAACTGCAATATATGTTATACTTGCAGAATATGTGACTGCATACGATATGGCATAAATCTCCTTAAGGTACATCCACTGTATCTGCAGACTAGACATAGAGTCTTCAAAAAGGATGACTGATCTTATTGACTAGGATTAGATTGCAGTTCCTCCTTTGGTTGAAATCTATTTTTTAACAGTAACAGTAAAAAAAAAAAATAGCTACATATAGCAAAATCAGGTTTTCTTTTTCACTAGTGTAGTGCACAGTGTGTCGACCTTCTCTGTGATCTCCAGGTTCAGTGCCGGTGGATCTACACAGCTTTGCACGTGGCAGCTCGGTCTCCGGGCGCTAGAGCAATCATGTGACCCCGTGGGCCTCCGATGGAAGTTGGGGGGGTGGGGGTTACAGGAAGCTGCCACAAAGCTTATGCCATGCTGTGTTTGTGTTTTCCGCCCTTGAAAAAGTGCTGTTTATAAAAAATATAATATAGTAACGATAAAAAAGAACGTAAAGTCTGTAGCCTAGATACTGGAGATTCTGAACATAATCCCTGGGCTCCCCCCCACCTATTTGGCCTTGCCCATGTCCTTCTTGTGGGGGTACTTCTGGGCGATGCCATAGGGTACGTGGGCAGCGATGGTGCCCATCTCCGCAGCCCCTTTCACGTGGAACATCTGATCGTCGAAGTAGATGTGGGGCCGAATCTTCTCCAGCATGGGCCCCTTGGGGGCCCCGGCCAGGAAGAGGGCCTCGTCCGTCTCCAGTCCCCAGGCGCGCAGCGTCTTGAGCGCGCGGATTCCTGAGCTGGCGGCACTGCGGGCCGTCACCAAATAGGTGCGAATAGGACAGTCCAGCCGGTGGCCCTTGGCGTAGAACTTTTTCTGGAGCTTGCCCAAGGCTTCCAGGAAGCCCTTCAGCGGCCCCTAGTGGGGTAGAATTAAAACAGCACTTGGCAGTGAATTGTCAGAACCTTGTGTACACTCCCAGGCACAATGCAGCTTTGGGAGCATTGAGATTTTATGGATGTGTGTACAAATACAGACGTCAGTGTGTAGACAGAAATCTTAAGGCCAAGAACATAATCAGAAGGTGAGTAACTTCATGTAGGATTATGATTGACTGCGTGTTCTCCATGTGTTGTGTTGAAAAACATGCAGTTAGGGAAACTGGAATCTATAAATTGCCTATTCTGTCCTGCAAAGACATGCAATTTTGGTTATAAATCAATTTTGATAAAATGATGCAGTTACATCGTTTGGCCTTGGTGTGGCAGTGTGCATGTTCATCCTGTGATGCATCCTGTGCAGGGTGCCCCTGCCTTGTTCCCTGTGCTTCTGGGACAGGCTTCAGGCTCGTTAAGACAAATTACTGGATAAGCCGTTTTGGAAGATGGATGGATTACTTAAGATTTATGTTGCTAAAAATAGAACGCTGCACACGAAAAAAGGCATCAATATAGAAGGTATTTTAGAAAGTGTAATGTTAGGAGGTTATGAAAGCCATCCACATGCAAATGCATAAGCAAATGACTCAAAAAGTAGTCACACTCGAGCTATTCAAAATTCAGGCGGTTTAAAAAGACGTATGTGCGCTCAACATACGTGATCGAGAAGCTTGTTTTCGTGTTCCTTCTCGTGCTCGAAGAACTTGTCGAGGCCGTGCGCCTTGTAGATACGCTCGGACTCGTCGGAAAAGAGAACGGCGTCGCCATCGAATGCGACTCGCAGCTGGGTCTCGGACACCTCCGTCAGCTTGTCCGGCGTGAACATGGTGGCCGCCGCGATGCCTGGGGGAACGCGGGCAGAAAAACGCTCAGCACTGGGGGGCTGACTAACGCAGAGCCAGAGACCAGTGCTGGCACAGTCCTGTTTTTTTAGTTCAATTATTATTTTAATTTGATTCTCCATTTTCTTTAGCTTTAGTATTCAGTGTCGTTTTATTTGTTTTTGTGGAGTGCTGTTAGCCATTTTTATGGTTGAAATACTACATAGAAGAGGCCCAAAGCATTGCATTGCATTTCCTCAAATGATTTTCATCAAAGAGGAAAGATAAACAGATCATTCCTTTGGCAATATTAGCCATGTAGAAATATCAATCGTTTTCATTGAGTGTAATTCTTAAATTTTATTTTCGTATCTTATTTCATTAATGATAATAACCCTGCCACAGACTGGTTTACAATATAGTGATGCTTTCCCTTAAAGGTCCCTTAAGGTTACCTGATACTCATTGGATGCTGCTGGGTCTGCCCCAGCAGGGGTTTATGGGACAGTCAGGGTTACTGGAACCGTGGACTGGGCACACTGGGCTCACCTTCCGCCAGTGCCTCTCGGACCTTCTCCGAGTCTGCAGACAGGTAGAGGTTGGTGTGGAAAGCCTTCAGGTACCCGATCGGACTGCTGCCCCCGGTCATGCAGAAGCGCTCGATGAACAGATCTGTGGAAACATGCCTGTGATCATCCAGTTGGTCCACCATGGTGACCACAACAACTAAAAGTCATTTTAGGGAACGGCTCCCTGTCACCCAAAAACAGGATCCTTCAGCAATTTAGGGCAGAGCTGGCAGATCAAATTTTGAAAGACATTTAGTGTTTAATTATTATAAATGAGAAAAACCATCCATTTTTTATGACTGTATATTCAGGCGTGAGGCAGGAGACACCTGCAAGTGCACAGACCCCCGGTGAAAGCTGATTGGCTCCCAGAGTGCCCCCTCCTCTGTCACTCACAGATTCAAAACATATGATTGGCTAATGATAAGGTTGGTCCCACTGTATCAGTTATGACCTCTTTCATGCCCCCCACCTTAAAATAATCCTAGAATCACTCATCAGGATGTCAGTCCATCGCAGGGCACACATATGCTGTGGAGACTACCATCACAGGGCAGACCCAGGACACGCTGATGTCTCCCAGCTGACCTGTGGATGGATGGATGGATGGATGGATGGATGGATGGAATGTCCCCAGTGGTCTCCCAGAAAGCTCAGTGGGCTCGTGTTTGAAGGCGGCTCCCTCCTCAGGCCGCTCCAGCCTCCTGCAGAGTCTCGCACGCCAGAGGAGCCCGAGGCTGACGCACATGAGGTCGGTGGTGGTGTGCGGGGGTCAGAGAAGCCACCCCCCTCCCAGGACCACGCACCCCCCCCCGGGGAGAAAGCGGAGCTCAGCGAGACCCCGTGTGCCTTTCTGACCGCGGTTCGCTCAGTGGGAACTGAGCTGGGGAGAAGCAAATGAGGCCATATAGTGCCCCTATAGGCCAGAAATGTAGTTACTATTAAGCCCCTGAATTATCATTTTACCAAGCTGCTTAGTGCATGGAATTATAAAGTTTGAAAAAGTACAGAGAGCATACACAGGGTGTACAAAGAGCATACGCATTTCAAACCGAGAACATACCCAGGGCATACAGATGGCGTACTTAGGACATACAGGGGACTTACAAAGGGGGTACTCAGGACATACCCATTTCATACCGAGAACATACCCAGGGCATACAGATGGCGTACTTAGGACATACAGGGGACTTACAAAGTGCGTACTCAGGACATACCCATTTCATACCAAGAACATAACCAGGGCATACAGAGGGTGTACTTAGGACATACAGGGGACTTACAAAGTGCGTACTCAGGACATACCCATTTCATACCAAGAACATAACCAGGGCATACAGAGGGTGTACTTAGGACATACAGGGGACTTACAAAGTGCGTACCCAGGACATACAGAGAGGATGCCTAGGACATTTCCAGAGCATAACAAAGTCGTACCCAGGACATACAGGAAGCATACTCCTGGCATACAGAGGGCATACCCATTTCATACTAAGAACATACCCAGGGCATACAGATGGTGTATTTAGGACATACAGGGGACTTACAAAGGGTGTACCCAGGACATACAGAGAGGATGCCTAGGACATTTCCAGAGCATAACAAAGTCGTACCCAGGACATACAGGAAGCATACTCCTGGCATACAGAGGGCATACCCATTTCATACAGACAGTGTATCCAGGACATTCAGAGGGTATACCCAGAACATACAGAGAGTGTGCCCAGGACATACCCAGGGCAAACAAAGAATGTACCTATGGTACACAGAGATCATGCCCACGACATACCCAGAGAATACAGAGGGATTACCCAGGGCATTCAGAGGGCGCACCCAGGGCAGACAGGGAGTGTACCCTGGACATACCCAGGGCAGACAGGGAGTGTACCCTGGACATACCCAGGGCAGACAGGGAGTGTACCCTGGACATACCTACAGGGTGTTTCTTGCCTTGAAAATGAATGACTTTCCTTATGTGTAACAATTGTGCACTAATCCTCTTTTGTGATTCGAGAGCTGGAAGTTTACCCTGAATTGCTTTGGAATAGTTTCATAAAGGGATAAAATCTTTTAAATGACATTAAATAGAGCACATATTTATGCTACTGGTTTAGCGAATGCATTTTGTCCCACAGGGGTTAGTGTTGTGCTGGAGGCACCTGCTCAGATCAGCTGTCTGCTCAAGCCACGGGAACAGAACTGGGGAAGAAAAACACGGCCGGCGGCCTCCTTTACTGACCGCACACTTAGACGCCTGCTCCGCTAAGCCTGAATCGTCCAGATGGGCTCCGTAGCCCCTCAGGGGTCAATGGAGCGGTCAGGAACTCGCCCAACCCGTAGGCTTGTGGAGGACTTCAGGCCTCCAAATGAGAAGCAGCGTGGAAGTTCTCAGGCCATGCTACTGTTGCGTGCTCTAGCCATCGAAACCCCTTTGTTATATTACCCCTCCCCCTGTCCATAAATGGAACAACCCCCCCTATCTTTTCATCTTCACAGCAGTGGCCTTTTCGTGCAGAGGTGCGATGGGCTTGAGGTCGCCGGGTCTGCTCCACAGAGACAGCGGGGTGCGCATTTCGGCTACTCTCACACAGAACAAAGCTATGGCCACCAGGGAAGCGGGATCACAGGAAGAGGCAGGAAGCTAGACATGGGGTCACAGGTCACAGTGTTTGTGTGGGAAGGACAGGCCCAGTTGTTCTGGAAGCCCCAGAGTCAACGTGTGTAGCTCATAGCGAAGTTTTCCATCATCATGACGACGTTTGTGAACGTATCCATGGCAACAGTGAGTATGCAAGTAAACAAGTAATCCAGGTCCCTTACAGGTCATTTATAAAACAGGTATCTTATTAGCGCATGTCAATTAATATTATAGCTTCATCATGCAATAACATACCGAGGATTGTAGAGTACTCACTACATGCTGTTTCCGTTATGATGCTTATGTGTGATGTCATGAAATTAAGTAAAATGTATGTTGCTCATTTCCAAAGCTAATTAATGCAATTTTAGCCTAAACAGTAATGTTGCGGAATCTGATCATAACTAAACGGTAAAAAAACAGGAACCAGATCATTCATGGTTTGTGCCGTAACAGCAAGGTGACAGAACAGGATAGCGATGGGCAGTTTGGGACATTGCGAGATAACGTGCTGAACTCACTGTGGTAGTTGATGGTGTTGATGAGCCTCACCCCCACGTGGGCGTGGTTATAGGTCACCAGGACGATGTCGAAGAGCTCCTCGCTGTCGGGGTAGAGATCTCTGAGCCGCGTGTTCACCGCCTCCAGGGCCTGGGGGGGAACAGGGCAAAATGGGGGTGTGCAGTGCTGAAGTTCTTACTCTCCATAAGAAATTCACAAACGCACTCTGACGTGTGCACAATGTCCTGCTACAGGTTCGCCAGTAATAACAAAGAGCACTGAAAAACATTCACATATTATTGTCCTGTGTATTCAGAGAATACAATGAAATCCTTGTGCTATGGAATCTGTCCTACAATTACATGTAGGACGTGTTGAAGGACAACGCTGTTGTTCACCAAGACTGCAGTGCAACATCAGACGATGCAGTGCACGGACCTAAAAATACAATAAGCTAGTATGATACAATAAAGCAGCACTAACTGGCTAGACTCTCACTGCTTTTCCTGTCACCTTTGGACTCTTTCTAATAGCGTTTATTTAATAATCTGCTTCATTCTGTTTTGCACATACGCATGGTATCATGTGTACACCTGTTTGCACATGAACACTCCCACTTCAGTTACCTTCTTACATAACCTCATCTCTTTTATCTTTTTTGTCTTTATACTTGTAATTTTTATCTTTGGTATTTCTCAGCTCTGTTTGTTGTTTAATCTTGCACGGTGAGAACTATGCCGTAGTATAACTTTCCTTCGGATGAATTAGGTTTTTTATCTTGTCTTATCTTAACAGTACAATGGTAGTGCAGTCGTCCAAGGAAAGTGCATGAAACCAATGTAATATTGTGCCATCTGAGATTGCACAACATCCACGGTCAGGCCAGGTCAGAAATACTACCATGGCATCATAATTCATAATTCTCTGTACATTTTGGCTGAATTGCTGGTGATCCACCACCTGTATTTGCTGAAAACCTCTTACACTGTATCATACACATTAATCTTCTAAACCACTGTTCTTCCACTGTAAGCTGTTTACAGTCAAACCCACTGCACAGTCCAAGTGAAAGGTTGCATGATATGTACAGCATATTTATTTGTTTGTTTATTAATTATCGCCTTGTGTGTTTATGTCATCATCATCATCAATGACCTGCTTGTCTTATTCAGAGTTGTGGGCATCCGGATCTCGGAAGCTACGGGCACAAGGCAGGGAATAACCCAGGACGGGGCGCCAATCCATCGCAGGTTTTATGTTGTCTTACGTGGGAAGCCATGTTTAAGGTCTCAGACAAATGCTGTTTTGTTTCACTGTATGGCTGACAGTAAAGTTTGACTTAACGTAACTACGTGACCCAGCAGTTGATGCTGCTCACTGCTTTGCCCGGCGGCTGAGGTCAGTGTGCTTGTGTGCAGCTATGTGCATGAACATCGGTTACCTTGATGAAGGGGAAGGCAGGCCCAGGTGCAAAGGGCTCCATCTCGTGCTCCACCTGATAATTAAGGTACTCCTCCACCCCTTTCTCCCGAAACACTATGTCCTCCTTCTCCGTCCTGAAGAGCACCCGTGATGACACAGCGATGGTAACAGCATTTTCTGGCTTAGGCTGGGGGGGGGGAGGGTGCAAGGGGGTCAGTGAGGAACCAACCGAAAGCCCCGACACATCTCTCCTGTCCCTGATCCGTGCCAAACAGTGCTGGGTCAGCAGATGACCAATGATAGGTGAGAAATTGCATGTCACCCTGTCAACACGTATTGAGCTCTCTGTGGAACTGTGCATAACTGAAAAGAAAATTGCAGCAGATCAGCACTATCAAATAACTCATAGGCTTACTCCCCAGCCAATCAGAGTTTACTCAGTCATTAGCCGCGCCCATACTATCCAGCCAATCAGAGTTCATTCTGTCATTAACTCCACCCTCGTTACCAGCAAGTTTTGTGTCTCCATCTCTGCCAGGTCCTCAATCAAGATTCTCCGGGCAACTTTTGAAAACTTACTCAATCCATGGGATATGTTGTAAAGAAAATTTCTGTGGACTTGTGTGAGTTTTGTAAATTTATCGAAAGCTCTTCATTGAGCTACATGCGGACTGAGTGAGTTTTGGTTCCCAATACTAACATGTGATGAGTAAGCCTGACTTTAGGTAATTGGCTGTCTCATCTCAAACACAACAAAAAAAAGGAATTTGGGAAATTTGTTATTTAATCACAAAGTGGCTCTCAGAGCACCTCTGTCAAGAAACATGACTCGCTATGTCAAAAATAGCCTTGAGTATTTAGTGTATCTTATATAAAATTTCCTAGGGACGGTGGGCACAGAAGATTTATTTCGTCATGATCCTCGGAGGACCCCAAGAGCAGGATACCTCCAGAGACCACTTTCCCAGATGCTCAGTGGTGTCCCGAGTGCCACGGGTGTAAAACGAGACCGGCGGTGACCAGGGCAGAAGGGGGTAAAAGGGCAAGCTGGACATTCCAAATGGGGCAACCAACAGCTCATAAGTCATCCAGCACGGGGCGGCCCTGGGGGGGCTAATTATAGATGTGCTGCCACACAAAGCAAGGCTGCGGGGGGGTGGGGTGGACGTGCATGGGACCAAACAGACACACTCACAACCGCTACCTTTAATATCACCGTCATCAGCAGCTGAGCCGCTCGCTATATCCCATAATCGGATGGTGACACCTACCCTCGTACCCGCTCCACCAGCTGCACTTACCTAATCTTATCTTTTTCACCATTTCCCTGGGGCTGTTAGTACATGTTCTGAGTCAGTATTTTTACATTTTTAATTTTTATTCAACCATTACATAGGATCAAGTAAACCAGAGATTCTCAAGCTATTCCATCCCCGGGTCCAATAAGAAAAAAAAATACATAAATATATGTGTTTGTGTATGTAAGCATTTTTTTTTTATTCAAGGAGGAGCTCTGAGTTGCAAGCAAGCAAAAAAAGCAGGCAAGCAGCCAGTTTATGCTCTGTGTTTGCGATGCATTATTTTGTCCCACTGTAGCCCGGTGGGTCTCTGACCATGGACGGGCATTGGTGCCGGTCCACAGCCCGTAGTTTGAGAAATACTAATCTAAACCATGCCTGCTAATTGTTTTTAGCTACACAGAAACATTTTTATACATTATGTCATGACCAAACTGATGTTATTAAAATGCAGTCCTGGAATAGGTGGTATCCCACATTATAATTCAGATGTTTTTTTAATGAAGGTGATTGTGCAAAATACACACACACACACACACACACACACATATCACACATAAATATATATATGATCAGCGTCAGTGAAAAAACTCATATATAATGCAATGCATTTTCAGCTTGTTCAGCCGTTATAATATGCAAACATTTTCAACAAGGCTACAGGTCACAGGTTTTCACTACAGTATGCACTAACATAAAGAATTAATGTCCACTCCGCATGCATTTACTCCACACTGGTCATGTGACACGCTTATCAAACATGGCACGGATGTTTCCGGATGCTCCCTAGTGATACTTACAAAGAAGATGCCTCCCTCCACCTTCCTGGCTCGCCGCACCACACCCTTCATGAATGGACAGGTGAGATCAGAATGGGGCCGTCACTTACTGAATGTTCACGCCTGACTTGGACAACTGACAATTTTCAATTGTAAAGAGCCATGGAGAATGTGTTAGCTGCTGGGATTTGATGTCATTTTAGGTCAATACTTAGATATAATCTACATACCAGCTGAACTAAACACCATGGAGCACAAAACTGATGCATCTAGTAGAATATTTTTAAGGTAAGCATTCGGATATTTCATACTATTTTAGGAGACAGAGAAAATAAATCACGTGCTAGATTCCCTTGACAAGACATTTGATCAGTGGATGGACAATTTGAATTACAGCCTTACATTGTCAATGCACTTTCATATCCACCAACATGAGCTTAACTACAGAATCATAACGGGTTTTCAAGAGGCCATGACTGAAACTGCCTGCCATATCTTCTCCAATTTCAAATGCACGTCCTCATTTAATGAAGTTCATCTGGTTAAGTTTCATGTAGATCTAATACATTCAAAAATATACATAAATTATTACAAATATCATACATAAATACATTATCCAGAGAGAGCGTGTTTAGCCTATAGGCCACAGATAGAGTACAGGAGAAACTATGCTCAAGTAAGAGACAGGTTAGACATGACAGTGTTCTGTTAGAGGGAAGGTCAGGTGGAACAACATAAATCTTAGGGTTGGTTATTTGCACGTCCATTTATAACTGCCAGTCCTGACTTAGCAGTTATCGAAACACGTAAGCAGATCATTGAACTAGGATAACTGCTAATGAAGTCACTTGTGAGTCAGACATATTTAGTACTGCAAAAATTATGGGGGAATTGTTGCACTGAAACCTGATCCTAGGTAGGGTGTTGCTTGTTTGTGAGAAATAGCAGTACAAAATTAGAATGGAAATCAAAGGAGAAAACACACACAGACAACTGTTATGCAGCCAAGAGATGGTGCCCCATGTATGTCTGGAATATAGTGGACAGTGAAGAGGTTGTGGCTATTTATAGAGCTGGAAGGTGCCAGTGCAGTGGGAAAAGCACTGGATCGACTTCCATGCAACTTCCATCCTACAGAGTACACATTGTGTCATAAACAAGCCATCTCGTTCCATGCAGAATCAAGTTAACTGCTTATTTCAAATATCGACTTAAGGGTTCAACTGTAACCCGGACCTGCAGTAAGACAGAAGAGTCACTCCAAAGTTAGACATGTCACAAGCATATTAGAGGTATGATTTGTTTATATATATATTTGTTTGTTTGCTTGATTATGGCTACTGACAATGTGTTGGATCATATTTTCCACCAAGACAGACATGAGTGAAAAACGTGCATTTTCTGGCATGTTTTGATTGAGTGTGATCCCTCTCGCCTTCACCACTCTAAGCTGCACCTGATGCAGCTCAAATGGCATTAACTCCCCACTTATAGCCCTGTGTTTACTGAGCTGCCCGGCTCTGACCCTGGGGCTGCTGTCGTTGGTGTTTCCTGGACAATAACAACAGCCCTCCAGTCAGAATTCAGGATGCGGATCGATAAGCACCTCAGACAGCCAATTGCTGCCCAGTGCCGACCTAGGTCACCGACATTTTTACATTAATCACCACAAATCCTATGAGGACCCTGTCACAATCTCCACTGGACAATGTACGCCAAAAAATTAAATATGTGCTATGGAACATGAATCATAGCCATTGGTGTTTCTGTTTCATGGAATAGCTATACAAACGGATGTAAATGGTGTGAGGATTATGCTCCACAACGCGTGTTCAGAATGTAAACAATCGTTTTGCAATCTCCCTCAGCTCCCTCCATATTCCTCCTCACCTGCTGACCACGTGGGACAACCTCAGGGACTGTTGGCTTTGAAAGATGACCACAGAATCCAGCAACAGACAGGGTTTTGCGTCAAACTCACCGAGTTCTTGGTAGAAGCGTTCTGGTGGTATAACCCCTTTGGCTCTTCCCATGAGCTCAGGCTGTCCCCATTTGTGGTGGCATTGACAGCCGGGCATGGTCCGGCCTCCTGAGCAGTGGCAGCATTCACTGAGTCGAGGCTCATGGTCTCTCTGTTTACTCATTCACCGTCTTTCAGATGCCTCCTACCGTGTCTTGGAGAGCTCTGCTTGTTGTCCACTCTTGCTCTCTAAGCCCTCAGTCTCAAGGCCCCAGAATTCCCGTGGAAGGTCTTCTAGTGTCCTCCTTGACTCCAAAGCAGGGAAAGGTTTTCTCTTTTTAAGAAACCAGGATGTAAGGGGATAGACTCTGCCTGCGTCCTGACGTCTGTGGCTGCCTGGTCTTGTCCTTCTAGGCTGCTATCTGCTCCCTCTGTCGCATGGTGGCAATGCCGTCACACTCTCTCTCTCTCTCTCTCTCTCTCTCTCTCTCCCTCCCACTCTCCGTGCTGCAATGAGACGCTCGCACACGCACTCAATGCAGTGGCAACCTGCCCAGTTTTTAACTCCATGCTGGGAAGCCTCCAGGCAGGCGTGTGGTGTAGTGCGTATTTACAGGCTTTCGCCAACAACCATCAAACAATCACAGACATGCTCTCCAGACAGCACTCATCTTGCTCACACTGACCAATCATAGCCCATAGTTCATACGAATCGGCTGTCACATGGGGCTTCATTGTGCTGTAGTTAATCAGAAACGTCCCCCTCTCGTCATTGTGCTTTACACCGACGTGTCACTATAAAAGGTCCGAGGCACTTCCGGTTTACTGCATGACTTACAAACTGTCTCATCTAATACAATAAAGATGGTTTAACTATCTGAATGTCATGCGACAGCAGACTGTCAGTGGTTGTACAATTGTTTTGCTGAGAAAAGACGGAGGGATGTGCGTAGTGCTTTTCTGCTGAAACGTGTCAGCAAAATGCTTAATCTTTGTGAGGATGTTACCTTGGAATTTTGAGAAATTCACCACTTAAAGACGATCTTCAATTTTCCTGGACACTGCTTTGGTAATCATCAAGTTCTGTTTTCACTTTACAAGCATTTACACAAAATATATTATCCATTCATCTTCTAACCACATTTTCTGGTCAGAAACGCAGGTGGGGGGGTGGGGCCTATTCCTTCCAGCATGGGGCATGAGGAGGGGTACACCCTAGACGGGATGCCAGTCCATCACAGGGCACGGCATATATGCAGAAACACACTCATATACTATGGGAAATTTAAACCCCAGTTACCTTTAATGTATGTCAGTGGGCTGCAGTAGGAAACCCATAAGACACAAGGTGGACTTTGTTGTCCAACTGAGAGAAAATATATTCTCAAAAACATTGAGAACAACAGTTTCAAACTTTGTATTGATGCAGAGGGTAGAAGACATCTGGCTGAAGATGACAGTGACAATTTTGCATCATGGTTTGTCAAGCCAGCGATGCTATGACCAGTTGCTAAGCAGCGCTCAGTCTCCCTCCTCAAAAACTGCAGCCCATTGGTCTGCTTCAGTGATGGCAGATCCGCTGCACAAAGTGCTCCTGTCACCATCTTGTGGCCCAGCTGAGAAATTACAAGAGAGCTTTGTGAAAATCAGCATCAGTACTTTGTCTGCTTCTTGGGTGGGCTGTCGGGAAATGCTGCAAAGCTACACACCATGAGTTCTGGCCTGAGTTATCGAAAGTATTATGGGTTACAACTTAGGCCACAAGTTATGAGGTATGGACAGGAGGATGAACTACAGTCAGCAGAAATAGTTGTGGTCAGAACCAGAGGTACAGTATTTACAGTCAGAATTTACAGTGGTGGTTGATCAGGTGACCAACATTCAGCAGCATAAGGAACAGTTATCAGTACAGTCTGTTTTCATAGGTATCTACGCCATCTATGCTTAAGAGTGACAACAGCGATCAGCAGTATATTCTCTGGGCAGAGGCATTAGATGCAAGGNTCCATCGAAGCAGCACAAATATGGACAATAAATAGATACATGCCCCCTTGCTTTCGTACTCGTGTCGTGGGGGGGGGGGGGGGGGGGGGTGATAACAGCTACATCGGAGAAGGCCATAGATGTCCCCAAAATCAACATCTCATAAACAGCAGCAACAAAAATGACACACAGCTCTTCCATCTGTTTCACAGACATTCATATTTTTAATTCTATATGTATTAAAAATAATTACACATCTCTTTGTTCTATGAGGCATACAAGAACAATAAAAAAAAATTATTGTAACCTGATCATAAAACCAGACGATCACATCACACGATGCAAAACAGAATCATACTGCACAGGCAGAGTGCACACGTATGCAGGGTCTTCCTCACTTCACTATTTGCACTGTTGGATACTTAAATTTATATATAAGAGCGTTTTACTGGAGTACATCAATGCCTGACTGCGTATTCCAAAAGGCATATTGCAGTTACATAATTTTAATGTTCAGGTGGTCGCCTCAGAAGCTAGTCTTTGGTTCATCAACCACAATGGTGTCAGATCACTGGAGACACCCATGGCACAAGGTTACTGCTCAATGCTGTAGTGATGGCCAAATGAAACTTCATGAACCAATTGCTCTATTTTCTGACACCACTAGATGGTGCTCACTGTTCAAAATAGGGCTCAATTCATGCCCAAAAGCAAACCAAGAGTGAGGTAAAAAAAAATACAGAAAATGGCTCGTGAAGCTTCATTTGGTCATAAGTACAACACACCATTCTCTATGCTCAACTCCAACCTCGAAGCCGGAATGGATGGTTTTGTGAAACCCAGAGATGTCCACTGGAATTAAGATGCAAGGAAAAATCTGGAAAAATGTCAGTGAGATCAAAGCCCCATAAAGGATGACGGAGTCTCACCTCACAACAACCGCAGCAGTTTGAGTTAAAAAAAAAAAAAAACAGCTGCATCTTAAAATCTTAAATATATCCCAAAGATTTGTTTGGTCGGACAGAAATGCAGTTTCACTCTGATTGCAAAACATGTCCTGAAGGTCAAACAATGAATGTTTACCTGCAACAGCATTTGCTCATGATCACTCATGTCAGAGATTTAATTGAATCATTTGGTGATTAAACGAGGGGAGAAGCCATCTTCATTTAATGGAGACCATATCTTTGTTTCAAGATGGCACCCAAGCAAGTGGCATAAAGAAAGAGATATATAAACCACATCATACTCAGAAACATAATAATCATCCCTGGTGCCAGAATCACATTACAAAGTACAGTGTATGTCAACAAAGTTACCACAATTAGATCATTTAAAAAAACAGCGGCTTAGCTTGTTCTACAGCATAATGCATTCACATACTTGAAGGTAACAGATTTTCTGGTTAACTATAGAAATAACCTGAATTAGACTTGCTACCTATCACTTCACTTCCATTGGCGTACTCGTAACCTTAAAGACACCCCCCCCCCAAAAAAATAAAAAAAAATAAAAATTAATGTCTCTAAAACACATTGGTGTATACATGTACCTAGTGTTATACGTAGCACAAGAAATTAGCATCACACAAAAGCCATCGTTGCAAGAACACCTTACAGCTTAATAGCTTGAAATGCATTCGTGATTTATTACACTTTTGCTGCGTATTTAACAGAATTCGTTAACATCAGACAATACTGGTACTATTGTTATGTATTTAGCTGCATCAACGAGCGACAGTAGAACGGAATTCCGATACCGCGAGTCTGCTTCCGCGGCATTCCTTACGCACAGCTGCGCCTCACACTGAGAGCCCGCCTTTGCGTCCTCTCGGCTGTCAGTACGGGCCAGCGGCCTCCATCGAAGCAGCACAAATATGGACAATAAATAGATACATGCCCCCTTGCTTTCGTACTCGTGTCGTGGGGGGGGGGGGGGGGGCTGACAGTTATTAGGTCATGTGACTGGGAAAAAATAAATACAATTAGCATATCCTTAAATAACAAAATAAAATATTCCTGTACATAGTTAGATGGCCCCATTGAAAAATGCTGAGAATATGAAAATGAATTATCTATGCAATTTCCATCCATTGAGTGATCTGCTAATATTATCCACGTCATTAACATTGATGGTAAAATTGGGTCTGGACATCTTTTAAATATTTTTCCACTGTAAGAACAGGAGAAACAATAAAATCTTCCACCTTCTAAAATATTTTTATATATATATATATCTGTGATCACTGCATTATTTACAGTTTAGTAGGTGACTTCTCATATGCACTGCAGTGCTTTCCAGTCCCACAGCATATCACTGTATATACAGCTGTTACAAATGGTTTTGACCAGATAATTGTTAGAACTCGGTCTAAACAATAACTTATTGGGCGATGAAGCTTACATCGTTTGGCCCTAACTTCGCCAGCACAATATGTGATCCTGGTCATTTTAATATCCACCATCAGTACACTCAGAAGCTCTAGGCAAAAATTAAACATTTAAACTGCATTTATGCACTTTACAGTATATATCTCAGTCAATCGAAGCTGAAAGAATTTTCCATCACTCTTAGCTGCATCATAAGAACTGAAAGTGTTACATTGGTCACGCTTAATCTGCAGGAGCGTGGAGGTTTTTGGCCTCTTTCCGACTGAGACTGACTTCAAAGAGTTTCGAACCGGTGTAAATAGATTTACCCATGAAAAAAAACAAATTGGATTGGGCGGAGGACACGCTGGAACAGTCCTTTCCAGGGACAACGAGCTGAGGTCGTCCTCCATTTTAAGCAGGAAAATTGACAACCTTGATGAGAGCCAGTTTTCTTCATTCTGCCCCTGGGTGGCGCTGCGATCTAATTTTCTAACAGCAGAAGGGATATAAGCGAATTCATTTCTGTTCTTAATCACTTTTTTAATCGTTTACTTAAAAAAAAATTCTAAACAAAACCAACCCAGCTGTCATTTCTGGATTGCAATATAATGTCGTTCTACACCCCACAACGTTGTTGAGAACTCCCAAAAAATAATAAGAAAAAAATGAATATGCCTAAATAAATAAAGGTGAAGGATTAACGGCGGGAATGTATACACTAACTCCCAGATGGATAATTTGCATGCAAATCTTCAGATGGAATGAAAAATAAAATTATACGCCATGGAGAAATTATATCCTGCCCAGACATAAAAACCGTTTTCTCACATGTGAGACCAAGGTCGATGACAGATTAACCCCCCGGAAACCCGTCCACCCACCATGGAAACTGCACTTATCCCCGGGAAAACAGTGACAGGACGGTCACACGGGTGAACGTGCATGGTACCACCTGCGATGGCTTTTTGACTGACACACAACACACTGGGAGATCGCGAAAGCTGCCGGCGTTTGGTACATACTGCTACGTTATTTGTATGCTCGTATCACAAACGGTGAGAACAAGACACTTTATTACCAGTTATGCTTCTTCAGCAGCGCACACACACACGCGTGCGCACGAGCACGCGCGCACGCACACACTACTCACTCCACATACAATCCCACTCGCGCGCACGCAGACCGCTGCCACTTGTATGAAGAGGACGCGAAATAAGCGTAACATTTACATATACATATTATATATTTATACATTTACCCCATACATCCATCCTCCAGTCGCTTATCCTGGTTAGGGTTGCGGATTTATACATTTATATTCGCACATATTTATATTATCATATACACTTACTTTAAACATTTAACAAAACCAACTGTGCACGGCCCACAGAAGGTGAAGTCTTCTGATACGGGGAGAGACCTAATCCTTCATATAAAATACGTCTGCACAAAGGCCGTGCTTTATCCGGAAATATTCCCATTTTCAGAAATGCGTGTCCCGCATATTTTTTTTTTATCAGTTTTTCTGTTCTTTTTAATCTGCATCGTATACAACACCTTCTACGCACGCCGCACTAACTGCCGGTTATCGTTTAGCTCCAGAATTTCCAATCAGTAGCAATTTGTCTTATATTCTTATTGCACTGATACAAATTGCTTTTTCCCAGTAAGATTGCTTTTTTCCCCTACGTAAGAACTCTCACGTGCTCTCCCCAAAATGAGAATTTATGAATCTGCAGTTCTCCCGGCTTACAAAAATAACACATGATTATTTATTTACTTGGTTATTTTTGTGTGTGTGTGTGTGTGTGTGTGTGTGTGTGTATATATATATATATATATATATATATATATATATATATATATATACACATATACACACAGACATATATATATTCCAATTCAGTAGAACTTGTTCTGAGCTGTCGTTTTCCGCTAGCTGTCGAAGCGCTCCCGCCAGTCGCTCGATGGTGCTTTGACGATCAGTGGATACTGCTCTCCACTCAAGGATTTCAAGAAGGGGAGGGGAAAGTTACTTGACTGACCCAAAAAATGCAAGCGCGCTAGCCAAGAAGCTCGTTCCAAAACATTAGCAGATGTATCGAGCTAGCAGCAGACCTGTGTCACCAGTGTCAGTCCTCTAGGGCTGTTTTGCCAAGTGGACCGTGACTGACTCCTACTGGGGGACGTCAAGGCCGTGAAAGTCCTGAGCAATGAATTTTGCCTCTTCTGCCAAAACAGAGACATGAGAATAGCAAATTTAGGGAATAATTTTGACAGGATTTACACCAGCTGGTCTTGCGGCCAGCTGGAGTCGAGGGATCCAGTAACACAGCTATCAAGGGAGTCTGGAGCTTTCGGAGCTGAGCGTGCCCTCATTTAATAATTAATAGGGTCCGAAAAGCCCCTCGATTAGGGTCAGGTCTGGCGCACCGCTTCTACAGGAACAGGCTGTCCTCGTAGAGGGCTGATCCACAGCTTGACAGCTAGAGGAAAACAGGTTATTTTCCATAGGACTCCCTCTTTGTCACTCTCAATTTTCTGCTCAATACCATCACTATTCTATTACCTTTCCTTCACTTTCCATTCTCTCCACGCCATCCCTCAGCCATGCACCCCCTCGCCTCTTTACAAGCAGCCCCCAGGCTAGCCCCCCCTTCCCGTCCCTCCTCCCCCCCCCACCCCTACTTCTGCATGTCGCACTGCAGCAGGAGCACAATGGAGGGGTCGCTCCTGGCCGCCTCTTTGAACTCCTCCAGTGTGATCTCATCATTGTGGTCCTTGTCCATCTTGCTGAAGATCTTGTCCACGCGCTGCTGAGGGGTCAGGCCATCCTCATTCATGCGCATCATGATCACCGTGCCCACCATCTTGTAGATGGCCTGGGGACGTACAACACAGAGTCAAATCCCTTGACCTCCCATGGTTGAGATGAGGATTCAAGCATGCCTTATAAACAATGCTGGAGTGAAACCCTCTGTTCTCTGAAACTGCTTGGTGATATTCGACAGTCCTCACTAAAAACCAACTGCTTCCTGCACGTTTAAAAAGATCCACTGCACATCTGCAACTGCTCTGTGTCTGAAGAAATTCTGTCTTCCTTTCCCTTAGAAATCCCGTTCCAAGAATCAGGGTGGGAAGAAAGGGTGAATCTTTCCTTCATGCACACGGACGGCGTCAAACACGCAGCAACTCACCTCAATGATCTCCAGCATCTCCATGCGTGTGATCTTCCCATCCCCATCCAGGTCGTACATGTTGAAGGCCCAGTTGAGCTTCTGCTCGAAGCTGCCCCGCGAGGTGATGGACAGCGCGCAGATGAACTCCCGGAAGTCGATGGTGCCGTCCCCGTTCTTGTCGAAGGTGCGGAAGGCGTGCTGGGCAAATTTGGAGGCATCACCGTAGGGGAAGAACTGAAAGAATGAAGAGAAAGCATTTTCAGGTTGAGGTTTTGCATTTTTGGTATAAGGTACATGTTCCTTAAGCTACCTACTGAGCTCCGAACACTTAAGCAACTGATAAACCAAGTGGAAAGTGGATTGCATTCTTCTTGACTGTCAACACATGATCTCAACGATGGTGCCCAGCTTACATTTCACCATTTTTACAGAATCTCGGCAATTCTACTCAATCAACGCATGTTTCTGTGAGAGTCATAGACAATTACACACAATTACCCAGCAAGGCAAACCAGAATCACTGTAATTCCCATTTAAAAATGAAGCCTTCGCAGACCACAGTGGAAAAGCAGCTCGTACTGGCGTCTAATGCCAGGAGCATCAGAAACGAGCTTGTGGTGCGTGCCTACCTGCAGCCACCCCACGCTGCCTCACCTTGACATAGAGCTGCTGGAACTCTTCCAGATTAAGAATGCCGGTGGGACAGTCCTTCAGGAAGCCCTTGTACCACTGCTTCAGTTCGGCCTCATTGAACTCCGTGTTCTTGGTCAGGTCATCCAGGACTTCAGGCGCCAGCTTGCTGTTGTGCTTCCCCATTGTTCCTAGACCACTAGGGGGGGCAGGAGAGACACAGAGCCAGAAAAACATTGGTCAGCATGATAACTGGTACGTTATAACTCAAACAAGGCTCGCAATTAAGACCAGTGTACACATGAAGCATCTTCCAATCTACAGTGCTGTCACTGGGAGATTTCATAGTGTCAGATTGTCCACCGATAGTCATTTTGGAGCATTACAGAATAACAGCCCACAAAGATACCTGTCCACCCTATTCTTGCACCCCCCTTTGGTGGTTTTTCCATTAGATTATTACACCGATCAGTGGCCTTTGTGCAATTTCGTCTGAAGTAAGTTACACTGCTTATGGCCGCAGTCATTATGGATTTACTGCTAATTTCCCGGAACAGCATGCAGCAACGTGGCAGCGACGTAGAGCTGTAACCTACAGGCAGCTCACTTGCATCCCGGGGAGGGTGTACTGAGTATTTTAAGGTAAAAGAGCAAAGCCCCTCCGCCGTCAGAGATCCTATAGACCTCTGTTAGCCAATAGGAGACTCATAACAAACTGCAGCGCGTCAAATGAATTCCGCTGTCCCATTTCATATCGAAAAATTCACAATAAAAAAAATTCACATTGCTATTTTTAAATGTATATTTATATTCAAGTCTCAATTCGATGGCCATGCAAGTGACCCATAACACACCTTGCACCAAACACAAAAATCAGATATTATCTGGAATATGACCTGTCTCCTCATATAATATTGAGTTACGGCGGTGGCTTGTATTTAGTCTTGCTGTATTTGGGGCTGTAGCCAGATATAAATACGCTGTTGACTTTCTTCCCTGTAGAGACTGACACAGTATAATCAGCAGTGCCTTTTTAAAGGGACTCAAAGGCAAACAATTCCAGAATGTTTGAGCAGTGATCTGTTTTGATTACAGTGTTTAGAGGGTCTTAAAGGGCAATTGTGGGCATTTGAGGGAAACGTTGTTGTCATCTCGTATCGATCCCATAGCGCTCCGATCCTGGAGGGGAACGTTTGCCGATGTCGCATTCTGAATGAGTGACGGTGCACCCTTTTCATCCGCCAGTCTATGCAGATAATTAAAAACTGATGTTTTTCCTTTAAAAAATGAGCACGCTGCCCCCCTCCCACTCTGCAACACAAACACACACAGCTATAAATTCTGTAAGGGCGACCCATGTTCACAGAACAACATGACGTGTGGCTTATAGGTAACGACAAGTGTCCATGGTACTGAATCGGACCGGATCAGACTGGAGCAAACCAGCCAGCTCGGGACACAGTCACCTCCTTACTAATGTTCCCTGTTCTTCCTCTCCTGCCAGCTTCCCGCTATCCCATCATGCCTCACAGACTCCATGCAGTCCCCACATGCACCGCGTCTCACACACGGCTGCACGGCTAGCCTCTTAGCTAGCTATTATCTTCTATGTTTGCTAATTCTTTTTACTTATTTTTAAACATGTAAAAAAAACCAACATTCGGGGATGTGTTTGAATGAATGTTTACGTTCCTGGTCAGAACGGCCACGGCATGTGGGGATGACATCGGCGTGCAAACACACCGCGGTGCCTCAGGAAATCATGGCACCGTGCGTCTGAGGCTGCAGCCAGGACCCCAGCCTGCCTTACAGCTTTCTGGGGTGGCAGGCAGGTGTGGCAGCATGATGTCAGCACTCCCGGCGCCCCCCCCACGGCCACTCCTGAGAGTTACGGCAAGAACTGAGCGCCACGGAAAAGTCACGAGCAGAGAGTCTGGTGCCATTAGCTGCGACAGGCCTGCAGAAACACAAAGGGCGGGTACTACGAGCACCAGCGTGCGATACACTGGGCGTCCTCCAGGGGCTCTGCTAACTCCTCAGCTCATAGGGAAAGTGGCCCCTGGGAACTGGCGCAAACAGGAAGTGACTAAAGGGTGTGTCACAGGAAGCGAATAAAGGGTGTGTCACAGGAAGCGACTAAAGGATTTGTCACAGGAAGTGACTAAAGGGTGTGTCACAGGAAGTGACTAAAGGGTGTGTCACAGGAAGTGAATAAAGGGTGTGTCACAGGAAGTGAATAAAGGATGTGTCACAGGAAGTGACTAAAGGGTGTGTCACAGGAAGCGAATAAAGGGTGTGTCACAGGAAGTGACTAGAGAGTGTGTCACAGGAAGTGAATAAAGGGTGTGTCACAGGAAGTGAATAAAGGGTGTGTCACAGGAAGTGAATAAAGGGTGTGTGTCACCTCCAAAAATGTTACACCTTCCGAAAATGTAACTTCTGCTACTCCGCATGCGCACACTTATGACTTCTGTGAGGAGGTGTGCTATTTTTACAGCATCGTGTCACATTTCATCGCCTGAGAACGTCGACAGCAAGAGGAAAGAGAAGATTAATAACCGGATAATGACAGACTTTTGACTTTTACTGCACTTTAAAAGATTTTATTTCGTACAGGGCATTAATGCCCAATATGCCTCAGAAAGAGCGACATAAATTCGGTAGTGACAACTATACGTAATAAAGAAGTGCCGGAAAATGTGGTTTCGTGGACGCATGCGTGATGAATATGCGCATATGCAGTAGCGGAAGTTATATTTTCGGTAGGTGTAACATTTTTGGTAGTGACAGTGTGTCAGAAAGGCAAGAGGATCTGGCTGCAGAACTTCGGGCGATCTCCACTGGGGGAAATCCACTCACATGATCTCCACACCTGGCCTGGACATGGACACTATGCAAGCTTCAGGAACAGAGGCAGTACCTCCACTAGGAGTCACATGACCTCCACGACAGTGCTGGATATGACATTAGTGCAACATCGTTATGTATTTACTATGGATATGACATTAGTGCAACATCGTTATGTATTTACTATGGATATGACATTAGTGCAACATCGTTATGTATTTACTATGGATATGACATTAGTGCAACATATATGTATTTACTATTTCAATGATATTAGTGCAACATCGTTAATGGACGTTAGTAGTCTCATTTAAATGTACGGGAATGGATGTTAATAGTCTATTTTAAATTTGCTATTTTGATGTGAAATTCTCATCTTTATGTAGCTTAGGATATTATGAGTAATATCCTGTTGATAAATACACTCTCTATCCACATGTTCATGTCCGGGCCAGATGTGGAGGTCATGTGATTTCCGGGCCCACAGTGGAAAGCCCTCCTAGTGGAGGTCGCCCAGTGTTCTGCAGCTAGACCCTTCCCCAGAAAGGTCACCACATGGATGTGAGACAAACTCTGAGCTTGCTGTGAGGGTGGGCAGAGTAGATCCTCGCCTGACCTCTTCCCAATCCACCTCACGCAATGAAGTACCGCAATTTTTTGCCATATCCTCACAAATCCTCCGAATAGACCGGCTATCCGGATGGACCCCCGCTGAAGGCAGACTTCAGGGTACCTGCTATCGTCATAGTGTGCATCTTGGTAAATAAATGACTAGATGGCCAAATAAACAAACACCGTGATGGAAAATCAATCTTCAGTGTTTGTGTTCAAAACGAACTGACATCTGCAAACTCCTTCCATTAAATGGATCTAATCGATGGTGTGATTACTGGGGGGAACTAAAACCAGCTTTTCAGTTGGGGCCCCCATATTGTTAGGCTGCCCCCACAAAGAATGCTGTCCTGGAAAGGATCTCCAGTTAACAGGAGAGCTGGCTGCCGGTGTAAAGAAATCACTGGCAGATATAGATAAGAGGTGTTAGTGGAGCTTAGCAACCAATAATCAGCCTCCGTGTCCTGATCTTTTTTTCTGATTGGTTAATTCTTCATCCCCATTCACTTCTCATAAAGGAAAAAGCAAAAACTTTGAGAGATGCATTTATGTGTGAGCTTCTGAGAAAATCATAGCTAGACCATGCAATGTCCTCTAAACTTCTAAAAGTGTTTTGTTTTCATGATGATGTGTACTAACCTTCTAGAGCCATAACATAATCATGACACAATAGCAATAACAAGTATTTGCTACCCTATTAGCTCTTAGCATGTTGCACATTTGCCAAGGGATTCTGATGTGGAATTTTTGAGACATCCTGCAGTCTGTGTCCCCTCTGCCCCGCGACGTATCGATTGGCCTTAATCCCCATGTGACTCGGCCGGCAGGGGGTGGGGCCAGGCCACGATTAGCCCGCTGATCTTTCTTTTTCGGCAGGGGCAGGGACATCAAGGCAAAATTAGCGCCGCTCCAACGGACATGGTGAATGGCCATCGAAGGGGGCCGTGTGAGTCATTGCTGCCCCTTTACGTCTTTATGTCACCTCTGCGGGGTTGAGTCAGTGGAGTTAATGGTGAGTGTTCACCTTCAAGGTTAAGGTGAATAAAGACAAAGCAGTAAGTGAATACGTCCCAAATGAGACCGCGATGGGATGTGCGATACGGAGCACTACAACTCGTGCAAATGGCAAGTAAAGCATAATTTCATTTTTCATTTTTCCATACTTTGCGCCGTCTTCTCTGCTGGATCTCTCGCTACTGGTGTCATCGAATGTGGGATTTCAGAAGCCTTCTTTGGAAGCTGCAAGCTGGAAGGACAAGATGCTTTGGGTTTTTGTCACAACACAACAACAACTTCCAGTTCACAGGAATTCCAGCATTGTATGAACCATAAACCAGTTTACTTGACCTGTCGTTTTCCAATGGCATAGATGCAGGCCATCACTTACACAGAAATCACGAGGAAAAACAAGCCTTTGCGGCAGAAAGACTTTTATTCTGCTTCAATAGTTTCTCATATCTGTGCAGGGGTGACTGTCCCACCATCACCTGCCTCACACACCATGACAAAGTTTCATTACATATCTATGCCAGCTTTCAACGGGGCATTCTTATTTTTAAAGAATGCTCAGCGGTTGGCACAAAGTTAGCTCATCAGAAATAATTAGTTGTTGACGACAGTTGCTTGACAGCAGAGTCTAGCCCCCTGAAACAGCGTTGTGTTGATCGATATCCTCCATCTGTCAATAGTCAGTGCTTTTGTAGCCCATCGGCTAGAGGTGATTATATGCAATATCGCCACGGGCAACCACAGGCTCACAGCTATGATGAGGAGAGGACGAGGTTCTACATCCTTTATCAGTGTGTTGGGTCTGAGTCAGCAGGAAGTCACAGGCACTGGCCTACATGTCACTGGGACTGTCACTGTGTCACTGTTCCTCTTCCTTCAAGCCGTCTGTTTTCATGGGCGAGGGTCATCCCATCCTATCATGACCCCATGTGTAACCTCCATGCCTCGTGGTTCCATTCACTATTGCAGGCGACGGGATTCTCACAGGATCGGGGAGCGGAGGGGTGGGGTTGCAAACGCACTGATCTCAAACGCACGCACCCTGGCCCTCTTGTGATGGAAAACGGTGCCACAGTAACGGTGTGTTTCACCCAGAGACTGGGGTGGGGAGGGGGGGGGGGAGAGCTTTCATTCAGATGCTCCTGCCTAATCGGTTCCCACGGCAACGGGCGCCATGGTCGCCACGGCCCTCGTCCCAGGGAGCAAACGTAACCTTGGCCACCGACTGCTAACAGAAAGCAGTAGCCTTAGGCGATACAGTACATATTACCATAAATCAGCATTCTGGGAAATATACATCAAATGTTTTGAATCCCAAAACATAATTTTATTATACATGCCCAGGACTGATTTTTCGGCAAGACTGACACTGGAACATGACTCGCTTAGTCTAGTACACGCAAATAAAGAATCTGCTCTATCAAGTTATTTAAGCAGGAGAGAGTTGCGAATGCTTCTGATTTTGACCCATGTGAACAGGAGGCCAAGCATGTGTCTCGGACATTAAGGGGAAGACGCACTTCAAAGGGCCTCAGAAGTGATTATGTGCGGAGGTCGCCTAGCCCTTTAGCCGCACCGGTTTCTGAGGCCTACAGCTCGCAAGTAAAGAGAACAAGACCCACAGTGCAGACTGAGCTCACCACAACCTGCCTATCACAATATCCTGGCTGAAACCAGCATCTCATAATCTGTCCATCGAACTTCCAAAAGGGCTTCATCAGTGCTGTGTCACTGTGAGCATGGAGCCTATAGGCGGAGGTGACACCCAAAGGACGGGACCAATGTCCTTTGTGAGTCACATGCCCGCACACACAATCACAGACCACGAGCATGTTAAAGACACAGATTCTGTCTGATTTTGATGGCTGAGTGGGGAGGTGTACAACCCAATGGGTTAGGATGCTATGCTTGTAATCAGAAGGCCGCTAGATCAAATCCCATGGGCGGGAGAGTGATTTCACCGTCGGGGCCCTAAGCGGTGCAATTAACCCCCAGTAGCAGAAGGGACTGTCTCCACCCTGCCGTCTCAGAAAGTACGTTGCTTTGGAGAAGCTGTCTGCGAAGTAAGATGTAGCATAAAGCGCACGCGTTGGTGTCCTGGCCTGTTCGCCAGCAGGGGCACCGCGCCTCCCCGCTTCCGCCCCCAGCTCACCTTCGCCATCCACACACTCTGCTCCTTGGCCGGCCAAGTGCGGCTCCTGCGGCGGCCCCAGCGCTGCCAGCCGGTCGTTAGCATTGCCAGATGGCTACTTATCTGTCCGGCCTTACAGGTGAGCAGAATTCACGCCCACGCCCCTGTTATTCCTGCACCCTCCCACCCTCTCAGAGCCCCCAAGCGCGTAACTGTGGGACAGCTATCAATGAACATTGCCTTATTCGGTCTTTCCATGCCATCCTATGAACAATAATGCGTAACCAGGTACTGGTCGCTATTATCATTACACTGCCCTAAATTTACCATTACAATTAGGGGGCATTAACTTAAAAATCACTTATGATTGTTACTCTTGCTAGTGGGGGCACAGTGGCTCAGTGAGTAGCATGTCATATACCCGTGTGTCCTGTGGGCACCCCGCTATGCCCCCCCAGACCAGAAACACGCAGTTAGGTCTCTAAGCTGTCACTCTGCCTATAAACTGCCCGTGGTACGTGTGCCATGCTACGGACTGGCATCCCGAGCAAGATGCCACCGCCTTGTACCCTCTGCTTCCTGGAAAAGGCTAACCACTTGTGTTAGCTGGATGGATGGATGGAATGATTTACTGCAACTCCTTAATATAAAATTGAATCTTAACTTTCTTACACAGCTTCATCATCCATCCATCCATCCTCCAAGCACAGTTGTGGGTGGGGCCAGGAGCCCAGCACAGGAAGCCCAGAGCACAAGGCACCTCGGATGCGATGCCAGTGCATATAACACTGCTTACAGTTTTCCATAATTTTAGACATTTTAGCCACCGATGTCAAGCAAAGGCTACTGCCAGCACTCAAGTGAAATGCTGCCCATTGGTGGATGGAGAAGGTGAAAGGATGTCAGAGAAACGCCCAACAGGAAGTCTGGGTTTGCTGTGGTGCCGCGGCGATGCCAGGTGAGCACAGGGACCTGGGACATAGCAACAGGACCCGAGCGAGTTCCCCTGTGCCCCACAGAGCGCTCTGCCTGGCACGCGATCGGTCATGCCACGGCAGTGACATAACGCCCTGCCCACCGCATAATCTCAGGTTAATGAAAACATGCCCCCCCCCCACCTCGGCCTGGCTGTGTGCCGCTCAGATCAACATCCATCAGTTATCCTGGCAAGCCCCCCCGCCCCGCCCCCCCCCACACCGGCACTGAGAATGTGATTTTCTTACCGACAGCTTTGAACAACAACGTGGACACTGTGCCTCCGTGTCTGAGATTCTCTGGGGTCATGTGGCCCCTCCCCCCCCCCCCCAACCCCCCGACAGCTTTGAACAACAACGTGGACACTGTGCCTCCGTGTCTGAGATTCTCTGGGGTCATGTGGTCCATCTCCCCCCCCCCCCCCCCCCCCACCCCGGTCAACATGATGTCTACAATCACTGCCAGTGGGGGAGAATGCATGTAAGGTGGGTAAAAGCAGAGGAAGGACCAGGGAGACAGGAAAGCAGCATGGGGGGGGGTGTCAGCCACGCCCCAGACCCTTCACCTTCCTGGACTGGGGGGCCAAGCAGAACCGGCCCGGCCCCAGATCTCCTGGCTGGCCGCCTGCTTCTGTCTATTTCAGGACCCTCTTTGTTTTGGTTTTTCCTCCAGGAAAAAGCCTGTAAACTGATTCCACTGCAGCAGCCGGCGCCCTTTATCACCCCACCTCCCTCGGAGCTCCCTCGACGTGATGCCGCTGCGGAGAAGGCAGCGTTCGCTGTAACCTGGCGCCTCCGTGACTGTGGACTTACGCCGTGTGCGCCGCCGTAGGGAGTCACCGTGAGGCGCTGTCCTGGGCGGGGCCATCCGCTCTGAAGGCTGGGCTCTGACTCACCACAGCGTGCGTTTCTTTAACACTGCGTTATTTAATCTTAAGATTCTAAATGCCAACAGTAAGAAGCCACCCCCTACCCCTACTCCCAGCACCACGGATTTAGAGAGATTTACGTTTTTTTCCCTTACCATCAATTTTCCCCTTATCAATTTTGCACCACCAACTCAGTCGCTGAGACTCTATTCTAAGACCATGCCCATTAATAATGTCCTCGAGTCAGTGTAGTGAGTCACAGTATGACAGCACCAGCCATAAACAGAAGGATCACAATTACGGGCATCCGAAGGCATCGGTTACCGTGGAAACACCCGCTAATCACTCACCCGCGACTGGATTCCATCTACGTTCTGTTGTTATTGTTGTTGCTCTTCGTGTTTTATACCCAAAAGCCCAAAATGCTAAAACAGACTAAATAACACAAACACATGGGGAGTTATTGCATATTTTGAACTTGCCAAATGAAGAAAATGGCAACAAAACCTGTAAATTGGGTAATCTCAGGTGTTTTGGAAATCTGCAAATTGGTTCCTTCTTCTAATACACGGCAAGGAAAAAATGCTGTCAGTGATCCATAAGGCCATGAAACACTCACTGAGCGAGGGTCCCCAACTCAGAGAGAACACCACCCTGACCTCATACCTCTCCAATATCCTGGGATCGATGGTAACCTGATGACCCAGCCCGCCGGTATCTGCAAGGAGCAGTTTGCCTCCATTCTCCATCCTTTGGCGAGATCTGATGAATTCAGCCCCTAACTGGATCTGACAGCATCTCCTATTATTGTAGCGTTGATTCATTACAAATTGCAGTAAGACTCAGGTAGTCTTTTAAAGGTGGCTCACAGAAGGCCGTAGCTTACAAAAAGGCATCATCGCAGAGCCACGTAGAGGAAGAAAACAGCAAAACAGTCGCCCCATTGTCTACACATGGTTGTGTTGTTCCAGGTGGGGTCCTCAAGCTCCGTGACTCTCTCTCCAAGTGTCTTTGAACCTCTACAGAGTCCTTGGTTCTTCTGGTGCCTCCAAGTTGCCGAGAGTGGCAAGGTAACAGCTCCGGGGCATTCCAGTGACGGCACTCCGTCACTGCCACCACCCACTTGTGAGAAATCGCATCAGCTTGCGTAAGATCATGGCAAAGCGTTATTTAGTGGGAAGTGCAGGGGCTTAAAGTTAACAGACGGGTTCGAGTTTTTTTTTTTTTTGCTTTTTTGTTTGTTACTTTGGCCTGTAGAAAAGTTTAAGAAACTGTCCCTCCAGAAAGTAAGACAGAAAGATGTGAAGACCTATGACAGGGAAACAGCAGGGTAACACATCTGGATCCATTTGGATCTGTGTGATCTTAATTGATCAGCATGGCCGCGATACACACTGATTTCCAGTGAAGAGTGAAATGGTGATGCAGTGAAGCGACACAAAGGCACTCCTTGGGGTACCGAAGACTTAATTCATGCGAGGAAAAAAACCTCAGAGATGCTGTGACGTGCATTGAAGCTTTTGTCAGAATACATAAATGAATGTTAATCGGCAGAATATTCCAGAAGACTCTTCAGTGCATTTTGCTAATACACTGGATTTTGGTGCAGGATTATTTCATGTCGATTTGTCTGGAATATTGTCTCTCTGCTTTTGGGTAACCAAATGTCCTTTGCTCAGTGTTGATAAAGTCTCTCCCAGCGTCCTCATATGTTCACATATAAAAGGACAACACACATCCTGATGCTGGGGTGCAGTTACTCACTGGGGAAGTGTAAGTTGCATATATAAGGGTATGACTGCAGACACTGTCCCCATGAATGCAACATACACCTCCCTCCCATGCACCCAAAAACGCACGCGCGCACGCACACACACACACACAGCGATCAAAGACCATTAGCGTTACATTTCAATTCATTAACAAACCGCTAGAGGAGAAGTTCCATCCGCAAGCCACCGAACCATTATGGAGACGCACGACTCGCCGCTAGTACCCCGCAGGACTGATCACACCTGCCGACGCGCAATACAGAGAAGCGCGCGGGGAGCGCTCAACCTGTCAGCCTGGACATGAGACACGATACTGGCATAATCCCCACAACGACCATTCTGTCGTGAGCCTTACAGAAACGGCATTTCAGACACATGGGTACTCTGCTGTGGTCTCCCGCTGGCGGGCGCCGCTCTCCACCATCCGCTTGCTTATGCCAGTCACAGGGCTGAGCAATGCTTGCATCCCTCCGGCTGCTGCGCGCTAAGAGCGCATCCCGGTCTGAGCACTGGCGGCGTGGCCGTGCGTCCCTTCCAGTCCCGTCTACACGTGTGTGTCCTTTGACAAACATACATGATGCCACAGCGGCACGCGAGCGAGCGGCCGGCGCAGCGCGCGCCGACAGCATTACACCTGAGTACGCGGGGACACCTGTGCGCGCGCTTTCGAAAGCCATTCCCGAAAAAGAAGCGCGACGCGGCTGTTAATTTCCCCACTACAAATGTCCCACTCTATTCAGATGCAAGAAAAAACAGAAACGATTCTGTCGTTGTTATGCGTCTCATACAAGTAACATATTTGCTATATATAAGCAAATTCTGTCACAATTGTATTACGTTATGCTCAAACAGAGAAAATCCACAAAGTTCTATCTTATGAAATATTAATAATTACAGTATTACAAGTGTTGATGTAATGTAATAACAGTTGCGAACAGTGCAAATAGCAATACTGCCACTTACCCGGATAGTTTAAGGAAAGTGCCTTCTGCCTGGTATGGCAAGTTTCTCCTTTACGGAGGCCCGCGGATCTTTCCTGACAGCGTCGCACCAGCAGCACTCGGACAGGCGGAGAGTACCCGATTAGCCTTTTCTTCCAGTCACCTGAAAATGAATGGACCGCTCGCGTCTCCCCTGCCAACACATTTGCGTAAGAACCGCCCTCCGCGGCCTCTGATTGGATGCGACAGTGACATGTTTGCATTTCGCCAACTCCCTGTCTTGTAATTCGACGCCTGTCCCTGTCAGTCAAAGAGCATCTCCGAGCGCCGTATAATACCGTGTCTCGCCTGTTTCTTACCGATTCCGCTGGTATGCAAATAGAGGGGTGTTGTCATTTATACTGCTATGCATATGTCGACACTGGTAACATTTAAATCAATGCTCGTTCTTATTTATTTAATAAACTCCCTAGAAATGTATTAAATATTAATGCATAAACAAATCTGGCCAAAACAGCCGTGCGTGTGGGGGGTGCTGTGCAGCTCAGTGGGTTAGAGATGTGTGCTTGTATCTGGAAAGTAGTGGGATCTAATCCTCTTGATGATAGAACAACCATTTCACTGTTGGGCCCTTGTGCAAGACCCTTAACCGCAATTGCCTACCCTACTCGATAATCCTTATTTGTATGTTGCTTTGGACAAAATTGCCTGCTAAATAAATGTAATTCCAAACAGAATGCCTCAACAATGTTTGAGTAAATAATATTGCATTAAAGTCTTTCCTTTGGCAGAGTGATACCAGTGTCATTAGTTCTGTCATGTATCAGGTTGTCGATCAGACACTTGGGAATTCAGTTTAACTCTTAATCACTCAATCGATCAATCAGTTCTTGTTGTCATTGTACACATCAGAGCAACAAAATTGAGTTGGCAACTTCCTGAGCAGCGTAAATAAAAGCATAAGACAAGACTAAACATACGTAATGTGGATATAAACAATATGTACGAAATAGTCAACAAATATGTAAGGGAAATTTGGAAGGGCAGAAGTACAGATCCTTGTGCTTTATCTGTAGCTGTGTCACCAGCCAGCCTCCAGAAGGTGACATCACCGTGGAGCCAAATAGGGAATGTGACATTCCTGGTATTTTATATCTCGCCAAAAACCTCACTTCACAATTCTTGGTCTGCTGTTGATAGAGCATGAGAGCCTGAGAGTAACGATGGGCGCTCTCCACAACAAATCTCTATAATTTGACACTGCGCAAGGTTTTATTACGAAAACTCAGGCCATCCCTGCTGTTTGCTGCCAGAGAGTTTTAAAATATCACAACATGGTGAGCTCTGGCTCACAATTTGACGGCGTCCAGGCTTCACATTGGAAGAGTCTCAGAAGTTCTTATAAGTTCATCTTTAACGTCGGTCCAGCCAACACGGCATTGATTTTTTTTGGCAGCATAATGCTTGTGTTCGTGTCCTGTTACAGTCTTCCTGGATGTCACTGATATTCCAGACCGTCATTTACCACTGTGATCACCAAGCAGGTTCACCAGGAGTGTCGTTGGAGCTCTCATGATGTGCTGAAGCCTGCTGTTGGGGTGGTGGCCAAGAAGCAGCTTTAGCGTTAATGTCCAGGTGGGGAAGAACCTTTGTGTGCCTGGCCGACGTCCTTAATGCAGATGATCCAAGTTTACATCCAGCTGCATACAGGTGGAGGTGGGTCAGATCCCCAAAAGCCTTCAGCTTGGTCGTGCTCTGACATCAGTGGCAGCCAACAGCTCATCCTGTAAATGAACCCCCCTCCCCCCGCCCTCCTCCCCAAGCCTGTTGCCACCTCGCCCTGCTCCAGTCCTGGAATTAGTCCCGTCCTGTCTGTCGTCCCACTCTGTGGCAGTTCTCTAAGCTCCAGTTCCTGAAAATATGCAGAGGAGTGTACTGCACGATTTAATTTTTCCTTCCTCTCACTCTATAAATATAATTTGAAAGTGAATCATGGTAGGTATGCATAACACTTTCTGATATTATTTGTCTGTCATGCTGTCTTCTGACTTATAACAAGTTGTTCCGGAATATTCTCAGTAGTGCAGGCTAACTTTCGCACAGTCACGCTAAATGGGGTTCGGCGGCAGATCTGAACATCACGGCATGCACTCCTGCCGCCCCCGCTCCATCACCCTGCCTCATGAGTCTGAATCCTCCCCTCCCCCCAACCCAAACAGGAAGTGGCTCATTTCACAGCATCACCTCTGTGCCACCCAGCAGCTGGAGGTAGGTGGATGTAGTATGACCCCCGACCACGTCTTGCTGTCTCTCCCTGCAGTGAAAGACACTGGTGAATTCCCCCCCCCCCCCAAAGTAGGATGGAGCCACAGCAGGTACTCTGGTCGATGAGAAGCAGTAAATGCATTACGGATTGCTTCTGTCAAAGGTGGGGCCCAATCCAATACCAGCACAACAAACTAATTCCAGCGATTCACTCACCAGCCTGAAGACTGACATCTGCTGACATTCCACAAGTCTTGTTTTTCTTTGACTCATCTTTTCATGCCCCTCCCCCACCTGGCGCCGCACCCCTGTGATTCGCCGATTGATTGGGCTGCGAGCCAATCCGCTGCCACTGTCAGGTTTCTCCCCACAGTGTACACCTGTTCCCGAATGTTAACAACCAGAAAATGCCCCCTTCCTACTGTGCCTTTGTATGCTGATGCTGCCTGTAATTCAGGGCTAAACGAAACCGGCGTATACAGAGCGAAATGTCTGATATCGCTTCAGTTTTGACAGCATCATCATTTGATCTTCTATTGATACGATCAGTTTGATTAAACCACCTTTGAAGTGCTTTTATCTGGATTCGATGCCACCAGCAGTGACGGTTTAAATGTACCAACAAGCTGCATTTGCTCGTTCTCAAAATGGTTTCTCATCTACGACCATGACGGGCGTCGAGCCTCCGGTTGCCACCCAGTCGCGGCAGAAGGGGGCGTTTTCATGGATTAGACGACCTTTCCATCCGCCTTAAAGGGCACCCCTCTCCCCTCCCTGTGCCTTGCCATCTCCGTCCCCTCCCTCTCGCCGCCTGAGCCTCTTGTAGGGAAAACAAATTAATTAGCATCTAGAGACGGGAAACTGTTCTGCTGGCTAATTACGAGTGGCAATAATTAAGCGGGAAGGAGCCGCGTGCCAGCAAGCGGGGGAGCGAGGAGGGCTCGCGTTGGAGGGGAGGCGGAGGCGTGGGAGCCGGTGCGGGGCGGGGCTTCCTGTTACTCCCGAACCCGGCACTCTGCTATATCCATGACCTTTACAGCTCAGAGCCCCGCTTTTGTTCTCTGTGGCTGATTCATAGGACCTAGTGGGGGCAGGGGAGCAGGAGGGGCGTGAGCGAAGAGCAAGCTTGTGGGGGGGGGGGGCTTGCGGAGCTACAGAGATTTCCTGTCCTGTCTGTCCATGTGGCGACACATCTCTTAGCTAAAAAAAATATATATGTTAGCACAGATGCTAATGCTAATGTCATCGGCTTAGAAGGCTTACTGTCACTTACATTTTCACCTATTACAGATAACACATGATGGAACTTTCCTGGGGGGGGGGGGGTTGCCACTCCCAGCATAACAGTTCCTCCTTAAACAAACAAATAACAAGAAAGTGTACCACTCATTTCATTTTTATTTCATTTCATTTAGGTTCTGCAGGTGAGGAAGGCACATGCTTGCACACACCGAATGTGTGTAACTTGATACACAGCTCAATGTTTCAGTAGAGCAATTATAGATAAGATTGCTGGCAGGATAGCGCGGTGATCGGCATGATCAGAGGCCTGCTTGCCTGCCTTGACGGCAGTGCTTCAGTCTGACAGAGTAGATGTTCTACATAATCCAGGCTATTGATCCAATCATCGCTATCGACCCTCTCGCAGTGACACGGCCTGGAGCTCCTGACCAGAATCACAGCTCCCTCATCTTAGCTATGATCAGGGGACAGTCGTACTTCCGATTGGTACATTTATAAACCAAGTACCCGTATGCTTGATGTTAGCAATTTTTTTCCTTTTATGATTCCCTTACTGGGGGCAGCAATGTGGCGAATGATTAACACTGTTGCCTCACATCTGAATACCAGGGTTGGAGTCTTTCTTCCAGATTCTCCAGTATCCCCCCGAACCCCCCATCTGCTAAAATCATGCTAAGGTGAATTGGACTTAATAAGTTGTCCATAGGTATGAATGGTGACTGTGCCCTGCGATGAGTTGGCGCCCCATCCTGGGCTATTCCCTGCCCTGCGATGAGTTGGCGCCCCATCCTGGGCTATTCCCTGCCCTGCGATGAGTTGGCGTCCCATCCTGGGCTATTCCCTGCCCTGCGATGAGTTGGCGCCCCATCCTGGGCTATTCCCTGCCCTGCGATGAGTTGGCGTCCCATCCTGGGTTATTCCCTGCCCTGCACCCGGTGCTTCTGGGACAGGCCCTGGACCCCCATGACCCTGCATGGCACTACACGGGATGGACAATGGCTGGATGGCTTCCTTTAGCAAAATGTATGCATCATAACAACTTTCAAGTAAAAATGTTGGACGTTAAATACAAATTCCTATACACCTAGAGATTTGTTCATCGTCATTCCTGTAATGGTGGGCCCCCCAGCTACAGGGTCTGAGTGTCCCCCCTCTGTGGGGGGAGATCTTAAGCCACACTGCCCTGCACATCGTCTGCAGAGAGGGCCGTCTGTGCTCGGTCCGGCCCATGCGGTCCACCCCTGTGCAGGTTTCGTGGGCCTTCGCTCGGCATGGAAGGAACGGCACACAGATTAATTGCTTTCTGTAATGAATTAGGGACATCAGGGTTGGGTGATTACAGCGCTCGCCTCGTCGCTGAAGAATATCCGGTGAATTTCCACAGGGCCCCATCTGAGCCGACCACCACATTAATATATAAATATCATATTTCTGCCTTTCCCCTTCATTTTCACTCCGTCGAAAATGGATAATTAAGCCCATAATAGGTCTCACTCTCAGTGCCTAAAACCATAGGTACTGGGGGGGGGGGGTTAAGGGTGCAGACCACCCTACCACGTGTGTGTTTTCAGACACCCACACCCAAGCTGACAGACTTCATCGAGTTTCGAGACACTCTGGGAAGGAACCGCAATTCACTCAGTTCTATTTTTTTTTTTATTTTATTTTTA